GCATCAGCATCAGCATCAGCATCAGCATCATCAGCATCAGCATCATCATCATCTCATCTCATCATCATCATCATCATCATCATCATCATCATCGCATCATCAGCATCAGCATCAGCATCAGCATCAGCATCAGCATCAGCATCATCATCATCATCATCATCATCATCATCATCATCATCATCATCATCATCATCATCATCATCATCATCATCATCATCATCATCGCCATCGCCATCGCCACCCATGTCGGCCTCCCTCCACTTTCGGCACACCCCTTACACGCTTCGTGGCCCCACAGGGAGCTCCACCGAAGGCCCCAGTGGCAGCGCCCGCATGCAGTTCCACCCTCCAGTTCGGCGCGCCCGTCACACGGTTCGTGGCCTCATAATGGGGGCTCCACCGACGGCCCCCGCGGCACAGGCCGCATGCAGTTCCACCCCCAATTTTGGCGCACCCCTCACACGACGCGTGGCCCCATAGGGAGTCCCACCGAAGGCCCCAGTGGCACAGGCCGCGTGCAAATCCACCCCCAGCTCGGCGCACCCCTCATGCGCGTCCGTGACCCCGGAGGGAGTTCCACCGAATTGGGCGCCCGAGTTATCCCGGGTAACCGGGGTAACTCGGGTTCGGATTCCCGAAAAAGGAACCCGACTTAGCCCTGACCCGAGTTACCCCTGATGATGTGGGGTTCTGGACGCCCGAATTATCCGTGGTAACTCGGGTCTGGGGTAAGTCGGGTTCGGATTCCCGAAAAACGAACCCGAGTTAGCCCTGACCCGAGTTACCCCTGATGATTCGGGGCTCTGACCGAAGGCCCCAGTGGCTCAGGCCGCATGCAGTCGCACCTCCACTTCGGCACACCCCTCACACGACTCGTGGCCCCATAGGGAGCTCCACCGAGGGCCGCAGTGGCACAGGCCGCATGCCGCCGACAAGCCACTTTGGCACACCACTCTAACGTTTCGTGGCCACATAGAGGGGGATCCACCGACGATGGTACTCACAGCTGCGGTACTTCTCACTGCTTATGGTTGGGTCCTTCGCCAGGCTACTTGTATACCACACCTTCCCCACCCCAGTCAGATTCCACCCAACGAGGCCACGTTCAGTACACAAAGGCCACTCCCCAGGAAGGGCAGTGTGCATACCAGATCCATGATCAGGACCCCCGCCCACTCCCCGAGGGGCTTCTGGTCATCATAGACAAACGTGTCGGGCGCACTCTGGAGCCCCGTCTTCCCCATCCCGATGTCTCTCTCCGTCATCCGCTCGCGTGCGCGGTGAGAGGGAGCAGTTTCGATGGCGCGGGCGAGAAAGAGGACGAAAGGAGGAGGAGGAGGACAAGAGGAAGAGGGTGGGAGGGAAAAGGATGAGGGCGGCAAGGGTGATGATGAGGGCGACGGAGACGGGCGAACACTAACTGTGATGCTGACGAGACCTCTGCCAATCACCGCCGACGTCGTTTCCTCGGGCACCGCGCGGGCTCCGACCGCTGCACGGAGGAAATCAGCATATCCTCTTCGCTCCCCCCGCCCCCCCCGCGCGTGCGAGAGCTGCCCGCAGAACCTCTGGAAGGTGACGGCGCGACACACGCCAGGGTGGCACGCGCCACTGGTGTTGAGTCGGGCCTGTCCCCCTACAGGGGGATTTTCGACGAAGAATGCAAAATACCCCCAAAATAATAAAAGGATAACCAAGATCGCCCCAAGAGGGCCCAAGACGCCCCCAAGAGGGCCCCAAGACGGCCCAAGACGGCTCCAAGACGGCCCCAGAGGCCTCCAGGACGGCCCAAGAGGGCCCCAAGAACACCCCCAACACTACACAGCTCCCGACGCCGCAGCTCCACACTGCAAACGACCACTCGGACAGGCGACCACGGTGCGACATTATGGGCCGGCGGAATGAGCGAAGCGATTAATAATAAAAGGATAGTCCAACAAAAAGTCTGGGGATTAGTTCTGGAATATGTTTTTACCATTTTGGGGCATTTTGGGAATATCTTTTTAATTGTTCGTCGAAGATCCCTCTGTAGGGGGACACGCCCGACCTAACACCGGGGCCCTCGGGCCTGTGGTCCTCGAGCGAGGCGGCCCGGAGCCGATGCAGACCTGACCCGGACGCCCGCTGCTGCCCTATAGGGGCCCCAGGCCCCGCAGCTCTGACCACCTTTAAGTCGGGCCTGTCCCCCTCCAGGGGGATTGTCGACGAAAAATATAAGATACCCAAAACATAGTCAAACAATAGTCCAAAAATAGTTCGGGGACTATTTTGTTGAGAATGTTTTGCCTTTTTGGGGTATTTTTGGAGTATTTTCTAAATTTTTCGCCCCAAATCCCCCTGCGGGGGACACGCCCGACTTAAGACTGCCTACCAGACCACCCCAACCCAACCCGAAGACCCGAATTTGACCCGAACTTCGGGTTAGGGGGGGACGGACTCGATGTGTGTTTTCAGTGTTCCCCGAACCCCCCCCCCACTGGAAGTGGAGGGCAAATTGAGGCCTTCGGGTTGGGTTGGGGTGGCTTGGTGAGTGGTGAAGCTCAGGGCCCGATCCTCGAGTCAGGGAGAAGGAAGCAATCGGGAGATCCATCGACGAGCAGACGTTGAACAAAGAAATCCGACAAGCCGCGCGACAAGACCGGTCAAACTGGATCAACGCAACATTGGTTGGGGGACATTGGAGCGTCGCCAAAGAATTGAGGAAGAAAAGACAACAAAAACACGCTGGAGTCAAAGATCTTACAGGACAGTTGTTAGACACAGCAGGACGACCAGACGTGCTAGCAGAGTATTTTGTACAAGTCCAATGGCAAGTACGTCTTCCAGACGTGGCCCCAGAGGCAACAACGAAGCTGGGAGACGCGCTCCCCGTCGACACATCGAATTTCTCTTTACAAGAATTGCGGGACGCATTGCAAAACATGAAGAAGGGGAAAGCGGCCGGGCCCGATGATATACAGCCAGATGTTTGGAACATATTGGCCAACAGCGACGAAGCATGCGCAGCACTACTACACGTATGTCAAACATGTGGGGCAACGATATCCTCAACAAAAAAACGCAGCTGCAGCCTGGAGGCCCATGTTCTATCCAACAGCGGCGCGGATGGAGGAGGCGATGGTACAGCCCGCCCCAGGCCGGAAGAGTACAGTGGAGGCCAGTCCACAAGAAACTTTCCACAAGCAACCCAACCCCAGGGCGCCCATTGATTTTTGGCGTGGGAATTTGACGCTTTCCATCGCACAGCCATCGAAGCCCAAGAAACCCAGGGCACCGTGGAGGCAAGCAGGGTGTTTCTTGGCATGGGTCTCCATTGTGCCCCTCAAGAACATGAGACCCTCCGTGGGCCAAACACACTTCTTTGCCGTCGGCGGCGAGGCAGAGGCAGCCCGCTCCAGCGTGTGGCAATTCGGGGCAACCGAAAGGCGAAATGCCACGGCCAAAATGCACAGAACGTACAAGGATACCCTCCCCCGGGATGCGCAAGAGCATTCAACAGACACGAAGAGCACCAGGGTACCCTACCCGAACCGACCGACCTCGATCTTGTACCTTGGACTGGCTGTATTCGAAATGTGGTCCCACCTTCAAGCCGCGCAAACTCGCCTTGGGGGGGGGGCGCAAATCATGGCCGGCGGCATGTGCGCGGCCCAAGGGGAGCCAGGGACGCAAGTAAACAAGAAGAGGCGCCATGAAATCCGAAGAAACATCATGGCCCACGCCATGAGATTCCACCACCCCCTAGTCATCACCCCCCTCTTGGCCGCACCCGACCCATCCTGCCCCTACCCACGGCCCACGGTCCCCTCAGGGGGCCTCCCAGATGGCGCCGACGCTGCCCCACCCTCCTCGGGCATGTCCCCCACACAGGCGGATCTTGGACGAAAAATCAAACATGCCCCACAAATAACCCCAAAGAGTCATAACAAAAGTCAAACAAATCGCTGTCTATGTTTCAAGATTCCCACTGCGGTCGGACCTAGGACAGAAGGACATGATTCAAGAACATGAGACCCTCTGCTGTCCCAAACACCCCAAACCAGATGATCACCGAGGGTACCATTCCCCAGGATGCACAAGAACGTAAGACAACCACGAAGAACACTATTGGTACCCTCCCCGAACCGACCTCGATCTTATACCTTGGTCCGGCCGTATAGAGTAACAGGCCCGACTCAACCCACCTCGGGCCCCACTTGGGAGACCCTGGACCCTCCCCGCTGTCCCGCACTCCTCCTCCCGCGAGGGCCCTGCTCTCTCAAAAAATCAAAAAATCGTGGTCTATTTTTCAAGATTCCCACTATAGAGAAACAAGCCCGACTGAAACCCACCTCGGGCCCCACCTGGGAGACACCGGACCCTCCCCGCTGCCCCGCACTCCTCCTCCCGCGATGGGCCCTGCTCTCTCGCCCCTGCCCTGCGCTGCGCCCCGCTCCGCTCCCTCCTCGCTCTCGCGCACCTCTTCGCCCCCGCCGCCCTCGCGGAGGAGGATCGCACATAGGATCGCCGAGGAGGAGGATCGCGGATGAGGAGGAGGAGGATCGCGGAGGAGGAGGATCGCCCTCGCCCTCGCCGTCCTCACGCGATGTTCTATCCTCGACGAAACCACGACGAGGATAGAACATCGCGTGAGGATGAACATCAGGATCCTCTGAGATGTGGCGGTGCTGGAGGGTGCATCGGGCGCCGCAGCCTCCCGAGAGAGCGTTCCGGGATGCTCCGAGAGCGTTCCAGAACGCTCTGGAACGGACTCATCCTCGTCCTGGCCCCGTGCGATTCCCAGTCCTCCTTTCCGCCGCCTAGATATGCCCACGTCCACCGCTTCGAGGTCGTGCCTTGCGATCCCGAGGAGCGGTGGATAATCATGGACATCTGCCCGCCTGCGTGGGCGGGCAGAGACCCACACCCCCTGCCCCCCGAGTCCTTGGAACACGACCCGTCGGTCAGACAGTGATCGGCTTGACCCAAGGAACGATCAATAAGGAACGAAGCACCTTTTTTCCAGGGTGTAACGCCGCCGCCTCGGCCGCGCGGGCCCCGCTGCCGCGCGCGGGCCCGCGCCCACAGTCAGTCGCCGCCGAGGCTCCTGCCGCGGGCGGTGGCGCGATCGCCGGGGCTCACCGCCGTGTCGCCTCCGGCTTCGATCCGCTCCTCGAGAGGGGCCCCGCCGAGAACTCGCCATCGCTCGGACGTCCATGTTTTGTGTGTGTTTTTTTTGGTTTCGTGCGTGTTTGTTTCGCCAAATGGTCAAGGATGTTCCTCGATGGCCCTCGCCGAAGGAAAAATGCACACGTCCGAGCGATGCCAAGAGAACAGAGGCACACGTCCGAGCGCTGTCAAGCTCCGCCGGCGGCCGCGACTTCGACGGAGAGCACGAGAAGGCACGCTGCCTCGCCCCGGTGGCGCCCGTGCTCGGAGGCTGCGGCAGCTAGGCAACTCCACCGACCCTGGTCAGGCCCATCCTGGGCGCAGGATCGGTGCATCTGCCCGCAAGGCCAGGCCTGGAGGGCGTGCAGTAGGAGCTCAACCACGAGAGGCTCAACCCTGAGACCCCAGGACGCCCATGGACTCGTGGCGTGGGAGCGTCGCGCTCTCCGCGGCAAAACACCATCGGAGACCAGGAAACCCAGGGCACCCTGGAGGCAAGCAGGGTGCTTCTCGGCATGGGTTTCCACTGGTGAGCGTTTTCTTATTCGGCGTCTCGACATTGGGCGGAAGAGGAGGGGAGAGGGGGGGGGTCTGGCTCCAGACCTCTGCTTAATAAGACTGTTTGCCACAGTGCGTGCTATGGGGGAGACTCCATCTGCTCGAAACAGGCGCCAAAAACAACCAAGGTCTACTCCATGGGTGGGGATGCGAGGGCCCGCGCCGATCTGCAAAACAATGCATAAGAAAACGATCACCTGTGACCCCTCCTCCCTCCTCGGTGCCCCTCTCGCACTGCACGTCTTGCAGATCAGCCACACATTCCAGAGGCCACGGCCGCAGCGGCCTGGCCTGCCTGCCTTGCTGCTGCTGCTGCTCCGCACGATGCCAAGCAGCAGGCGGTGTCAACGTCAACAACCGACAGCTGCCCCCGTTCGGCGGCGAACCCAGAGGGGGGCGCCTTCTGAGAAGTTGTAGAAGCCTTCCCTGGAGACGCTGAACACTTCTCGGAAGGCGTGGGGGGTTCTGAGAAGCCCCGCCGCCTTCTGAGAAGGCCTTCTCCTTCTCACTTCCCCCCTCGCTCGCCGCCGATATGTGGGACAGGCGACACCTTGTTTCACATGGGCAAGATCGGCGGCGACACTTGCAGCGACGCCTGCTCAAAACGGGTAGGAACTACGCTGCTATCGGTCTGCGTCCCCATCTTCTCCGCAACCCTTTCCGGTGCGGGTGCGCCGAAGCGGGGGGGGGCAAGAAAAAAGGGCCAGCACTAGGGCTCGAGCTAAACAGTGCTCGTCGTTGTTGCGTTGTTTTCGATGTCCTTCGATCTGTTTTCGTTCAGCCCGTGCTGTGAAATGCAATCAAAATGGAAACGGCCCACGACATCGGTCGGCACACAAAACGCCGTTTGGCTCGAGCCCTGGCCAGGGCATCGTGGTCCGTGGCACGCGCGCGGCACGAGGGGGGAGGGGGGGGGGCGCACGGCACGCGCCGAACAAACAAAAACAGCAGAAGAGGACGCCATGACAGCCTGGGAGTGGCTCGGGGTCCCGGCCATGGTGCCTGGACGCTCCTTTTTTGTGGATGGATCTCTCCAGCGATCCGCCGCCTCTGGCGGTGCGCGTTGCGAGCAGGAACGCGGCAAGGCCACAGGAAAGCGCGGCATTCACAGCGTAGCTCCGCACGGGTGGCACATGTTAACGAGCAGGGACGCAGCAAAGGAACGAGGGAGGAGGAGGAGGGGGAGGAGGAGGAGGAGGCGGAGGAGGAAGAGGAGGAGGAGGAGGAGGAGGAGGAGGAGGAGGAGGAGGAGGAGGAAGCAGGAAGCAGTAACGAGAGCGAGGCATTGACAGTGGAGCTCAACATTGACACGCTGGTGGCCGGGGAGCCCCCGCGACAGGTCCTCCCCCATCCATCCCTCTCTGCTCATTACAATCGGAGCGTTGACCTAAGGAACCCTAAATAGGGAACGAGGCCCCTTTTTTCCATAAGTTAACCTTCGATTTCCTGTCGAAGACATAAGGACAGCCTGAGGCAAGCTGTGAAACACTTAAGAAACGCGGAGCCCCTCCGCAACGAAAAATGTTCCTTCTCCAGGGCCCCGACTGTATGTGCCCGACTATGGACCCCTTGTTACCCATTGCTCCTGGGCCGGCTTCGGCGGTCTTCGGGCGGTCGTCGGCGTTCTTCTGACGGTCTTCGGCGGTCTCTCGCGGCCTTCGGGGCGAAAGCTGGACGGTTGCAGTCAACAAGGGGGGTCCATAATCGAACACATGATTTCTAGGGCGCCTCAAACGCTCGGATCGTCCCGAGAGGAATATTTTTTCGGAAGCGCAAACTCAATGGCACATTGCGTAAGACCCGTCCGGCCTGCGAGCTGCAGCCCCTGACCCAGGCCGAGATGAAAATAAGCCTCTGATGGCCGCGCCCGGCCGCCTTCGCGGACGGGCGCGCGCACAGGGCGACGACGCTGCAGTGCATAAAGGAGGAGGAGGAGGAGGAGGAGGAGGAGGAGGAGGACGAGGAGGAGGAGGATCACTGACCAAACTGCCAGGTCAGCTTGGGTTGCGCCCCAACCAGCAGCCTGTTAGTAGGGGTTGCTGAAGAGGGCTCGCCATGGCCAGTAGCCCCCCCCAAGAGGACGAATTGGCTGCCCAGGAAAGGGGTAGCACGCGGGAAGGGCTGCCAATGCATGCCAACGCATCCCAATGCATGCCAACGCATCCCAATGCATGCCCATTCATGTCAACGCATGCCAATGCAGCCAACGTGTGCCAAAGCATGCCAAAACATGCCAACGCATGCCACTGCCTGCCACTGCATGCCAGCGCATGCCAACGCATGCCAACACATGCCAACGCATGCCAACGCATGCCAAATGCATGCCAACGCATGCCGACGCATGCCAATGCACACCAACGCATGCCAATACACGCCAACGCACGCAAAAACATGCCAACGCATGCCAACGCATTCCATCGCATGCCAACGCATACCAATGCATGCCAAAACATGCCAACGCATGCCAACGCGTGCCAATGCATGCCAATGCATGCCAACGCATGCCAAAGCATGCCAATGCATGCTAATGCGTACCATAGCAAGCCAACTCATGCCAACGCACGTCAATGCATGCCAACGCATGCCAACCCATACCGATGCATGCCAATGCATGCCAACGCGCGCCAAAACATGCCAACGCAGGCCAAGGCATGCCAATGCGAGTCAATGCATGCCAACGCGTGCCTCGACACGCCAACGCAAGCTAATGCATGCCAACGCATGCCACTGGATGCCATATCATGCCAATGCATGCCAATGCACGCCAACGCATGCCAACGCATGCCATTGCATGCCAATGCATGCCAACGCCCATCGCATACCAACGCAGGCCAAACAATGCCAACGCATGCTAATGCATGCCAACGCATGCCAAGGCATTCCACTGTCTGCCACTGCATGCCAGCGCATGCCAACGCATGCCACTGCATGCTACTGCATGCCAATGCATGTCAATGCATGCCAACGCATGCCAATGAATGCCAACGCATGCCAATGCATGCCAATGCATTCTAACGCATGCCAAGGTGATTGTAGCGAGTGCGGAGAAAAGAGTTGACTTCCCGGGTTATGGGTAGCACACGGGAAGGGATGCCTGCCCTGTTAGGGGTAGCATTTGGAGCGGGAGGATGAGAGGTCAACACATGTTGGGCCAATGCCCCAGCATGAGGGGGTCAACGCATGAGGGGCCAGCCAAGGCCCCAGCATGAGGGGGTCAGGGCATGAGGGGCCGAAGCCCCAGCATGAGGGGCCAACGCATGAAGAACAAATGCCCCAGCATGAGGGGGTCAACGCATGAGGGGCCAGCCAAGGCCCCAAGCATCAGGGTGTCAGGGCATGAGGGGCAGAAGCCCCGACACGAGGGGTCAACGCATGAAGGGCCAATGCCCCAGCATGAGGGTGTCAACGCATGAGGGGCCAGCCAAATCCCCAGCATAAGGGTTCAGGGCAGGAGGGGCCGACGCCCCGGCATGAGGGGTCAACGCATGAAGGGCCAATGCCCCAGCACGAGGGGGTCAACGCATGAGGGGCCAGCCAATGCCCCAAGCATGAGGGGGTCAACGCATGAGGAGCCAGTCAAATCCCCAGCATAAAGGGTTCAGGGCATGAGGGGCCGAAGCCCCGGCATGAAGGATCAAAGCCTGAAGGGCCGATGCCCCAGCATGAGGGGGTCAACGCATGAGGGGCCAGCCAAGGCCCACTGATGAGGGGTCAGGGCATGAGGGGCCGAAGTCCCGGCATAAGGGTTCAACGCATGAAGGGCCAATGCCCCAGCATGAGGGGTCAAAGCATGGGGGGTCGAAGCCCCAGCACGAGGGGTCAACGAATGAAGGGGCAATGCCCCAGCATCAGGGGGTCAACGCATGAAGGGCCAGCCAAGGCCCCAGCATGAGGGGTCAGGGCATGAGAGGCCGAAGCTCCGGCATGAGGGGTCAACGCATGAGGGGCAACAGCCCCAGCAGGAGGGGGTCAACGCATGAGGGGTCGAAGCCCCAGCATGAGGGGTCAACGAATGAAGGGGCAATGCCCCAGCATGAGGGGGTCAACGCATGAAGGGCCAGCCAAGGCCCCAGCATATGGGTTCAGGGCAGGAGGGGCCGAAGCTCCGGCATGAGGGGTCAACGCATGAAGGGCAACAGCCCCAGCATGAGGGGGTCAACGCATGAGGGGTCGAAGCCCCAGCATGAGGGGTCAACGAATGAAGGGGCAATGCCCCAGCATGAGGGGGTCAACGCATGAAGGGCCAGCCAAGGCCCCAAGCATCAGGGTGTCAGGGCATGAGAGGCCGAAGCTC